GCTAACACTGGGAAGCCTAAAGGGTCAAATCATACTGTGCTATGTAGTGAGGTCCAGACTGTAGTAGGCTACAGAGGAAGACTTTGTCTCAGACGGAACAGCAAAGAGAAAGGGGGAGCAGAAGGTAGGAGAGAGGAAAGAAAAAGAGTGGAAAAGATCATGATTTCTGGACAAAGTCTATGAAACAAAAACATATTTAAACTGGTCAATTATAGTTTAAAGATAAGGCAGAAAACGAAAAGAAAGCATAGGTATTTATACTTAAGATGCTTTTATTCATGTAAGAATGTCCAGCAAATAGAAGCATTGGCATTGGTCCTGAGCAGTTCAGACAGTAGGAGGCATTTGCACACACAGAGGTGTTGAACGAAGTTGACAAATTGGAGTGGCAAGAAGTACTTTTGTGTTGTTGGAGGTTAGAGGACATGTTTGAGCATGACAACAACGCAGTAGTAAAATATCAAATATAAGACAAGGAGACAGCTTCATCTTGTAAAATCCTAGGGAAATATTTAAGAGTTTTACATTCAATAAAAGTCATTCTGAGTGGATTACATAGTAATGGGAAGAGGGACTGCCTCCTACATAATCTGATTGGCCTGCTCATTGATCACTTCCCCCTGAGGGGGGAGCAGCCTTACCAGGCCACAGTAGAGGACAATGCAGCCACTCCTGATGAGAACTGATAGACTAAGATCAGAAAGAAGAGGAGAACCTCCCCTATCAGTGGACTTGGGGAGTGGCATGCATGCAGAAAGGGAAGAGAGGGTGGGATAGGGAAGGGAGGAGGGAGGGGCTTATGGGGGGATACAAAATGAATAAAGTGTAATTAATAAAATAAAAAAAATAGTATAAAAAATAAAAAAATAAAAGTCATTCTGTGCTCTGAAGAAAATGACCTTACAAAACAAAATAGAAATACACATTTAAATTTTAATGAGTTTATATAAGCATTACCTGATCCACACATCAGAGTGCAAGCAGTCAGCACTCTGTCTCAGGGAAAGGGAGGTATTTTATGAAGTGGCTATGGAAAGGAAACAAAGAAAACAATTTTGATTGATTTGAGATGGTCCCAGTTAGAGGCTAGGTGGCTGATTCTGAGTGGTGTAATTTCTGTTGTTTACATTGAGCTCTGCTTTGTTCTCATGGAAATTCAATGTACCAGATCCATCCTAGTTTAATGGTTTCTCAATTCTCATTTTCTATCAGAGTGGTGGGGTACAAAAGAGGAGTTATTACTAAAGTTTCCTCATTAGCTTACAAAGTCTGATTTAACACATTGGTAGAGCATATAGAGCAGAGACCCAATGGAATTAAAGCATTTACTAGGTGGGAGGGGGAAAAATCAAGGCATTAAGGGTTTATTAAGTTATCTGACTTGATAAAGGAATATTCAAATGTAGTTATAGAAAACACAGAATGAAATGTGCATTAGTTGAAGTAGGGGGGCAATGGTCTCAGCTTTTGATATATAAGTGGAGTAATAGAACTGGAAGTTCATTTTACAGGCTGTAATTTTAACAGTAATTCCTAACAGGAAGTATAGCTGTTATGATAATTAGCGTATTTAAGGCAGAAAAAAATGTAGCAATGAAGATGATCCTTAGAGTTTAGCAAAGTGGTGAAAAATAAATAAATAAAAATAAAACCTTTGCTGTTTAAAGTTTGTAGAAGATGAAGAACCACAAATCAGGTAGAGAAAAGGGTAGAATTAGATTATACTACCATTTTAGCCAATTAAAAGTGCTGAGATGAAGAGTGAGTCACAGTGGCTCATGGTTGCCATCCCTGCACTCAGGAGGTGCAGTTTAAGGGCTGAGCAACTCATGGCTTTCATGGGTTATAGAGAAAATCTTGTTTCAAGAAGAAAGGGCAGGCCTGGGTTGATCCCGAGGTTTAACCCTGAGAGCCAACTAAAGGCCTGCAGTGCAGGTCTGCAATCCTTGTGCACCTGTGTTGAGATGAAAGGGAGAGACAGAGTCTCCCTGGAAACTCACATGCCAGCGAGCCTGGTGTGCATAGCAATGGAGAGAGTGAAAAAGAGACAGTCAAGACAAGGTGGAAGTAAAGAATCAATACCTAAGGTTGCCTTTCACCTCCAAACAGACGCACAGTTACACTCATGATCAAAGATACACATGCAATAGACTCATACATACACACATTTTTTTTTAAAGAGAGATAAATTGGTCAGTGGGAGTAGGAAATTACAGAAACTAGGGAGAGGAAGAGGGAGGAAAGCGGAAAGAGAAAACTGAGTGTGCGAAGAAAGATTGATTGGCACTGTGAAATCAAACGTGAAGGCCTATGATGCAGATTGCCTAGTGATGCAGCGGTCAGTTGGTGCCCATGTGCGGGTGACAAGCAAGGAGACTCACCACTGGCTCTGTGTAGGATAAAGGCTCAGCTATGGAGTTAAACCCACTAACTCCATCACCATGTAAGCTTGTCTGACCACAAACCAAATTAGGGCTTGGTTAGCAGATCTGTTTGTTGGAAAGGGACTGCTGCCCTAGAGAGGAGGACTGTTGTGGTACAGAGGAGGTGGTGGCCCTGTACTCTGCAGAGGTCTTAGGGGTTGACCGAGGGATTAGCCTTAGAGTTTAGCAGAAGATGATAAGATGATGTGGGCTGACAAGAGTATAGGAGAATGTCCCATTTTGAGGCTCTTTCAGGCAACACTTGTAGATAATGTAATATGATCCAAATCAAGAATACCTGTGGCTCAAAACCTTCTGACTGTAATAGATAGTGGGGACTAAAGCATTGAGCAAATGGTTGGTAGGTAAAGTGTGGAGTGAGGAAGATTTGTATAGGCCTAAGATCAGTACAAGGGGGATCCAGGAGCTTTGTATAAAGCTGTGTCAGCAAAAGAATAGTTTTCTGTGATGAGCCATTGGTGACACAAGAAATGTCACTGTTTTCCAATATTGCTAGTGTGCTGGCTAGTTATATGTCAGCTCAGCACAAGGTAGAGTCAGTGAAAAAGAAGAGGCCTCAATTGTGAAAATGCCTTCATAAAATCAGCCTGTAGTCTTAATTAGCAATTGATTTGGGAAGGCCTGGTTTGGCCCAGTGTTTTGTGCGTTGGCCATCTCTGGGCAGGTGTTCCTGTGTTCTATAAAAAAGAAGGCTGAGTAAGCCATGGTGAGAAAGCCAGGAAACAGCATTCCACGATAGCCTCAGCATCAGCTCCTGCCTCTACTTTCCTATCCTTTTTGATTTCCTGTCCTGACTTTCTTCAGTGATGAACAGTGACATGAAGGTGCAAGCAAAATAATCCCTTTCCTTCCCAAGATTCTCTCTGGTCATGCTGTTAAATCATAGCAATAGTAGACACGGGGGTTCAGTTAAGCGTAAGACCTTGGTGTGTGATGGAGGACTGAGAAGTGTACTGTCTCAGGAGGAGACTATGATCAGATCAACATCAAAAAGAAGTAACTGACTCTAGAAGACTAAGACCTTGACACAGTAGCTCACTCACATGTAAGTACTAAAATATCTGTACAAAGTGTTGATATTTGATTCACAGTAAGTGCACAGAGATTAAGAAGAGATTAAGACTTAGAGGTGTTATTTGGAGGGTAAAACTAGGTGAGACTGAGAAGTGAGGCAACCTCTATATGATAAAAAACAAATATTGTGTGCCAAGAAATCTAATGCTGACCTTCAGTGAGGTAAGAGAACTGTAGAAATCACCATACTCTTGTGTTCAGATGGGCACCATGGACCCTCAGCTTTGGCAATAGTATGTGTGGTAACTCAGAAGGATGCGGAAAATATGAATTAATCCATTTATCATTTACGAGGAGTTGTTTGTTTTTTTTCCATCTGTCTTTACAACTGTTAGAAAAGTAAGCAAGCTATGGCCATATAATGAATTCAGAAATCTGCAATGCCTTGTGATTTGGGAGAGGGGCTTCTACAGGAATAAAGGTGATTGCATATCCTATCTGGAAAAAAAGTGGATTTTGAATGTTTCAGGACTGATAGTTCTTAGAATTAGGCCCATTGTATAGCAGTTTTCTTCTAGGGAGCTGGTTAAGACTCGGTGTCTTTTAGAAGGAAGCCTACTTAAGCTTAGGAAGTCCCTGAAACCCACCAGATGCACAAAGTCCTCCACCAACCAAAGTTCTTGGAAGAAGCCTAGAGCAGTAGAGCTACTAGATGATAAATTCTGATCTGTTGAGCTGCCCATATATCATCACAGGAGCTTCATGCCTTTAGCTTTTGGGATCTGTCAGCAATGCTGGGGTGTACTGCGGGTGATACAGCTGCCTGAGAGTCTTCCCTCTCCCTGTAAATAATCCTTACCAAAACTCCTGTAAATAACCCCAGTGAACTCATTGGTTCCTCAAGTTGGACATTTGTTGTTTTCTATCTGGTAGGAGTAGGCATTTGTTCACATCTCCTTAAGAATAGTGTCACCTTAAATCAGTGTAAATATTTTATTTCTAATGTATTATTATGCATTCTAAACATGAGAATAAGTGACTGTATTTCTAACTAGTCAGCGATGAATGAGACAGAGTGAGTCTGTGACTCCAAAGTCTGGAGATTTGCAAGCAGATACTGATAGTTTCCAAAGGAGAGTGTCTAATAGCACATCCAGGGTGAACCACTGTGAGGATTCATGCCACTAGCAGGAAATCCACATGCTGCCCCTTCTTTATAGCAGTGCACAGCACAGGCCACCTTCTGGTTTAGCGAGGTACCAGTCCACACCACTACTTTCCAAAGAGGAGGATTATCAAGATGATAATTTTATGTATGTTTCCATACAGCCTGAAATGGAGGGAGTATCCTGAATATTATTGTACAGAACATTGAAATTACTTGGAATAATAATGTTTTTATTTTAAGCTATACTATAGTGTATTTACTGTTTAACTATTGTACTGAAAAGACTTTGCTGAATGTTTTATTAATTTATTTAAATATCTTTGGGAAATAATTTAATGAAAGATAAAAATACTGGATAAAATTTCTTCATACAGGGTACAACCTATGAAGATGAAATGAAAGACATCAGACTTGTAATTTCAAGGATTAATGAAATTCTGGCTCATAATTCACCCGTATTGATTGTTCAGAGATGGATACGTGGTTACTTAGTTAGAAAACGCTTGAGGTATATTTATTTTTCTTTACCATTTGAATGTTGAAATGGGATAAAAATATCAAGGATAAAAAGTAGGTGCTGTAATAATTTGCACCTTTGTATTCTCTGTTCTCAGAATGATATTCATATAATGGCTGACTTAGTTTTAAGGAAAATGCTATATTATGATACATAATCAGAATTAGATGTCTTTATTTGTATTTTAAACTGACTATGAAATAACTAATAAATAAAATTTTTGTAGTTGTTTGAATGCTCTGATATTTTTATTAAGCTTAAATATGCCAATCAAGAACATTTGTTGAAATTCTCTCTGATAATAGTCATAGTCAAATCATGGTAATATGATATGTTATATATATACACACACACATACATATGACAAAATGGATGTATGAACTTTTACATAAGGCTATATCATGGTAATGGAAGCCATATATACCTTGAAAATATAAGGGGATTTTAGATTTTATTGGAATCTGTAGTTAATGCCCTGAGGATTGCGTTTTTGGTCTGAGAATTGAGTCACTATCTGATACTGACATGACATGGAATAAAATTCCTTTTCTCTAGACAGTAGCCACAATCTCAACATGTTTACGCAGAGTTTGAGTGTTGGAGGGGGGTTGTCAGTTATGAGCACTCTTCTGTGGCTCAGGCCAGAATGATGTGATGCCTATTTCTTTAAAGATTTGTTCCATTAAGCATATCACTTAAGTGCTCCAAGCCAGAATGTCTTCATCTGTAAAATGTTAAAAAGCTGGGACTAATAGCAGTGCTCATGAACTCGCTTTTAGGAACTGAGATGGTGAATGTAAGCCAGCACCTCGCAAAAGTAGCTGCTACTCTGTCATTAGATGCTGCTTTAAACACCCCTACCATCATCCTCTGGGGCTGTCTGCATTACCTGGCTCTGTGAAAAATGTGCCTGAGTTCTCACTTCTTCCTTCCTGCCTCTTCAGCACCAAGAATATCCTCTTCAGAGCCGTGCCCTACTCAGGTTATTCTGCAGCTGCACGTCCTCCGTGTTTGTCCAAGAACAAAGTCTAAGTCAGATGCTTCTGTTCTCAGCAACAGCACATGGCTCTGCAGGTGCCATCACCACTGTCTACAATGACACAGTGCTGGAAACCCTGGAGACAGACTCAGGACCTGTTTCTGTGTCTCTAGAACAAAACACAGTACCTGGACCATAGTCTAGAAGTGTTTGTGGAATTGATGAGCTCATCAGTAAATGAAGACACTGTGAGATCTGGGATCAGGAAACTCTTTCTGGATCTGTCTTGTGGGAGACAGAGTATACAGATTAGGAAACATAGCAAAGTGAGCTGCACCAAGAGAGGCACCACCACAGCCCAGCCCAAGAATTGTCTCCTGGCAGTGGGATATTTGCATTCCACCGGACAGTTTTCTTTTTAAATGCATAAATACCACACATGTCCACGTAAGATGGACTAGACCTAGAATTATGGTCAGTCTTGTATGTGGAAGATTCCCTGGTATACTGATTTGTGGGGTGAAGGGAAGTCTGCATTTAATCTTAGCAAATGGGCAGAGGCTTATAGGTAACTGGCAGCCAGCCTGTGGTCATAGAGAAGATGTCAGTAGGACAAGGATGTTAATGAATGTGCAGCTCATGTGCTGCACTGGCTGCTCCACTTCATGTCTTTCATGAAGTGTTGCACAGAGTTCCAGCTTGTCGTCTAGTTTGGGTCTTAGGTCTTTTGCTTAGTGAGCTTTGAACTTGATGGGCCATTGGCATGTGTATTGCACATCAGGTACCGCTCAGTGTTGCTCACTTGTGGGTGGTTTTGGAGGGACTGGCTATAGTAAATGTGTGTCCTCTGTACCATGCTGGTCTGTTTCATGTGTTTTGAGTCACACATACCTTCTACTTCGTCTTCTCACTCCTGTCATGGAATATCACCAAAGATCTTCACTCCTGTCAGAAAGAAATGACATTTAAAGAGTAAGCTGTAGGAACACGATGTGCTGTGTGACACTTGGGGACCCTGAATCCTAAGACGTGTCACGAGGCTCAGTGTAAGATGGGTCATTCTTTCCGCAGTGACTTCACACGGGGTTCTCCACAGTCTTCACTGAACACTGTTCTCCTCCTCCAGGAGAATTCTGATGATCACCTTATTAATAAACTCACATTTTTTTCAATCTTGCAGTACACACCAAACCCTCTTGATGCTAATGAGGAGCCCAAAACTGTCAGCAGCTTATTCAGTGAAGCCGTAGACCAACTGCGTGTTTTGTATTTAGATTGGAGTGCTGCAGAAGAGCTTACAAGGCCCATACCTAAACATGGTGAAGACAATATACAAGCCAAGCCTACAGCCAACATCAGTAAATGGAGAGAAACTTAAATCAATCCCACTGAAATCAGGGACAAGGCATGCCTGCCCACTCTCCCCATAGCTCTTGATCATAGTTCTTGAAGTCCTAACTAGAGTAATGAGACAATTAAAAGGAGATAAAGGGATACAAATTGGAAAAGAAGTCAAAGTATCACTATTTGCAGATGATATTATATCTGAGTGACCTCCAAAATTCTACCAGGGAACCCCTCCACCTGATAACCACCTTCAGCTAAGTAGCTGGCTACAAAATTAACTCAAAAAAAATTAGTAGTCCTCCTGTATACAAAAGACAAAAGATCTAAGAAAGAAATTAGCAAAACAACACCCTTCACAGTAGCCACAGAAAGCATAAAGTATCTTGGTGTAACTCTAACCTAGCAAGTCTTCTCCAGCATGGTCCTTGGCTGGAGTATCGGTCTCTGCAGGCCCCTCTGGGCCCAGGTTATTTGGCTCTGTTGTTCTCCTTGTGGAGCTCCTGTCCCCTCCAAGATTTTCCATCTCCCTCTTCTTCTATAAGATACCCTACACTCTGCCCAAAGTTTGGCTATGAGTCTTAGCATCTCCTTTGATACCCTGATGGGTAGAGTTTTTCAGAGTTCCTCTGGGGAAGGCTCCTGTCCTGTTCCCTGTCTTCTCCTACTTCTGATGCCTATCCTGTTTGCCCTTCTGAATGAGGTTTTAGCCTCTTTCTTAGGGTCCTCCTTGTTTAACTTCTTTAGGACTATAGATTTTAGTGTGTTTATCTTATATTATATGGCTAATATCCACTTACAATTAAGTATGTACCATATGTGTTTTTCTGCTTCTGGGTTACCTCAGGATGATCTTTTATATTTCCATCCATTTGCCTGCAAATTTCATGATTTCTTTGTTTTTAATTGCTGAGTACTGTTCTGGTATGTACACATCTGTATGGAATGAGATGGATTTTTCTTTTACTTTGTCCATTTAAGAGAAAACTAATTTTCCTGAACTTTGAGAAGATGCCTTTTTGCTTCCAGTCATGAATCCATTCCTTCTGTTGTGTTGGAGTGTCTAAAAATATGTCTGCCCTTCAGGGTCTGGTGGCATGAGACCAATTGCCCTATTTTGCTGTCCACCTCCCCCTATCCAATGTCCCCATCTTAATCTTAATTCTTTCCCCCACCCTTCCTCTGAGCTCTGGGTTTTAATATCAGGACTTAGTAATCCCCAACCATTCCAAATTCTACCTGTGTACATTATCTCTTGCATTGAATATGTGATTTTCAGTTCAGGGCTCCGAAGTTGTCTCTCCAGGCTAGCTGGGAGAATACTTCTGTTGTCTTTCTGTTCACCATTTGTCTTAGTTCTTCCATCTGTCTCCTTCTTTATAAACTCCAGCATCTTCTAGGTATCAGTTTTTCTAAACCACCATCATTCATATTTTATGTTTTCAGAAAATAACTTTTTATACTTAACATACCTTTTATTTCTGAGAGTAACAGTTACAGAAACTGATATTTAAGCTTGGCCAGAGTTTATAGGTTAATTCAGTTAGCTGATTTCAGGTGCTTGAATATTTCTTGTGTATAAAATAGCTTTAAAAAATTAGGTATAGTTTCAGAAAGAGTTTAAAAAAATAAAGGTCATCTTATTTAGAAAAGGCTATGCTATTATAGTCTGTACTGTGTCATTGCAAGTTCTTTTTGATAGACAAGTCCATATGGTGAGAGCCTTTTGAATGCGAGGTTTTTAGTTAATTAGACTGTACTTGAGGTCATAGTTTTATTGTTTATAAGTTAAAGATACTTGCTCTGTATCCAAGTAAATGTGATGAAATGCATTTATGCAATTTTAGTAATCTGGTAAGAAGACAATATATTATATTAAGAGTAGGAGTAAAATAGAAGACCCTATAATGATTACATTCTGATTTTGAAAGCTTTATCCAACTTGATATTTTTCCAAAGAAGAAACAATGTATTTGTGTATCATTTATTTGCTTGATTCATTTCTGTGTAACAAGGACTCCCTCAGCTGTGGCTGAGAAGAGGCGGAAGTTTTGTCTTAATTTTTTCTGTTGAAGTTTATAGTCAAAAAGGTTGAGATCTCTGGCTCCAAACAACATTAATGACCCTAGAATCCTTGACTTTCCTTCACATGTCTATCTTGTGTACCATCCTCACAGTCACTTGTGAGCTTTAATGTTCCAGCCATTATAGCTCTTCCCCATGACTGACAGCCAGGGGGGATCCAATTCTTCTGAGATTCAAGTTCTGTGATGTGGTCTATCAATATCCATGCAAGCTCTACTCAACAAGTCTTCATATGAATTGGCAGAGCCTTTCAGATACTCTACTTGAAGGTCAACTATTACAAACAGACATAATTTCATTTGCAAAACACCATTTCCCCTCTAACAGAATGTGATTATGGGAGAGATATCAGGGAAAGCTCCAGGGAGACAATGGGAAAGTCTTCCTGTCCTGTGTGAAGTCAGGACAGTAGACACAAAATATAAGATGATCACATCTTAACTGCTTGGTACTGTCTTGTGAGTAATAGATGGATTCCTTTAAAGAAAAAAAACCCCTCAATTTTCAGATTGATCAAAGAAGACATAAAAGCAGCAAATAGAATCAAAGACATCCAGTGTATTTTAGAAGTATCACAGAGGATGCATGTCGAGATTACTTTAATAGTCATGCTGTTTCTCAAAGTTACTAGAGAGCAAAGGAATACATCTTGCTTGTTGCTTTGAATAGTCATAAAACTGGATAAGAATACTATTGAATGAAAAGTGTAGGTCAGTCTATCCAGAGTACAGATTTGAACCTTGAATTTAATAGACTCCTTAGTATAGCAAATTGTGTAATACCTCATAAGTGATGTTAGTTATCCCAGAAATACAAGGTGAACTTAACAGAAATACAGTGAAGAAAATGATAGATTTTTTGATCAGCTGAACCCTGTGAAAACTGAACATTTTGTGTATGTGTGTCTGTGGTTTAAAAGTTACATCTTATTGTTTGCTCGTCTCACACAGGAAAAGACTTTCCAGTTTCCCCATGTGAGCTTTATCCCCTTCCCCTGCTTATCACATTAACAATTACCTTCAAGTTTTATATCTGAGTGGTCCCAAGCAGTCTCATGAAGGCATAGAAAACCATTTCCTTAGGCATGGACAGGATGCATCAGGGAACCCTGAAGCACAGGAATCATCTTATCTTCTGCTGCATGTTAATCATGGGGTCGAGTGCCTGCAAAGGACTGGCGAGCAGTTGTCATTAGCTGGGAGAAACTGCTGACAATAGTCATGCAGAATATAAAAAAGTCAGTCCCAAACAAATCACTGTATTCTGCCTTGCCTGAAAGAGCTCAGCAGTGAATGTTTCTGCAAGCTCTGTGCTAAGACACTCTCCCCAGCCTGATACACAGAAGGTCTCACTACCACATTCATTTCTAAGGTAGTAAGTACAGGAAAACCAATCCTATGTCTCAGCAAAATCACCTGATATAATTCAATACCCCTTTGAAGTTAAACGAAAGTTCAGTAAACTGAATTAAAAGTCAATTTCGTACTTTGGGATATAGCTTATTTGGTAGAGTAGCTGCCTGACATACAGAAAGCCCTGAGTTTGATAACCAGCACCACATAAAAGCTGGATATGGTAGTGCTTGCCTATAGTCCAAGCACTTGGCTGGTGGGGACAGGAAATCAGGAATTTAAGCTCAGCCCTGGATATATAGTAGTTGAATGACAACCTGTACTACATGTCTCAAAACAACAAAATCAAACAAAAGTCCTACCGCAAATGAAAAACCAACTCAAAGCAACACAGAATACCGAAACAGCAACAAAAGAGGCTTTTAATTAGATATTAGACAGCTAATTCATTTATTATCACTCGGACATGAAATGATAAACGCACTTGTCTGAGACCCACAGTGCATGGGAGTAGCAGCTATGATCATTCTTCAGCACAGTGTGCTAAGTCAATGTACTCCAGTGAGATAAATAAAAGTTACTACAGAAATAGGAAAGTGCAAATAAAATAATTTTAATTCTGATGTCACAGTGCGAGTTTGCAAGCTCAAAGCCATCATCCAAAAATTAATACGTAGTTATGAACTAGAAAAAGGAATTATAATTGACACGTATACTGCACTCATTTTATGGTTTGTCTCCAAGGCATAGACACATGAGATAAGCTTTTCAAACAGGTACCAGAGAAGTGCATTTCATGTACAAAGGTGAAGGACAGGAATGTAGCCAGAGGTAGTCAATTTATGAGTCTGATGCCTGTGAAGGGACAGAGAAAAAGGTTACAATAGCAAGAGGCTCAGGCAACAGTCTCACAGAACTGTTGACCAGGTCGACCAAAGATCCTTGCATGAGGTTGTGGTGCATCAGGCAGAAGTAGGCTGTCAACATTATCTTCCCCACAGTTGGTCACTGGCTAGGAGAAGCCCTGGGTAAACACGGGAGTTCCAAAGAAACAGGAGTGCGATGTCAGACGTGGCTCTCTCAATGGGTTCCACAAGGTCTGAGTTTTTGGCATGGCTCTCATCTACATAGGAGATCATGGGAAAGAGAAATTGAGACCCAGAACTAAAGGACCAAAGAATACTGACAGAGCAAAGCCACAAAAAATTCAAGGATAGTTTATTTTCATGGTATAAAATGGATCAGTGCTCAGTTCTTCAACAAATTATTAATCAAAACACTTTGAAATATAAATGTAGGCAATGATTTTCTGAATAGGATACCAATAACCCTAGGAATAAGAACAAAGTCTTACAGATAGGATTTTATCAGATTCAAAAACCAAACCAAACCAAATACTACCACTGCCAACAACAAGAAAATATCCCTGCACAGTAAAGGAAGTGGAGAACAGAATGAAGAGACAAAGTGCAGAATGGGAATTTTTTTTTTTTACCAGTTATTCATCACATAGGGGATTAATATCCAGAATACATAAAGAACTAAACAAACCACACACACACACACACACACACACACACACACACACACACACACACATACACATCCAAGCCCCAAATAATCCACTGAATAAATAGATCAGTGGATTGACTTGATAATTCTCAAACGAGTTAAATGTGACTAATAGACATGTGAAAAAATCATTTAAGTTTTTGCACCTATCGGGATAAAAATGAAAACAACACTGAGTTCTCATGTCAACCCAGTCAACATGCTGTCATCAAAAATGGCAACAGATGTTTTCAAACACAGGTGGGCAGTAGGGCCCTGTACATTGTTGGTGAAAGTGCAAATTATTGTAGACACAATAGAAATGAATAAGAAAATTTCTCAGACTCAAGACTCATTTGTACCCTTCCTAGTGCTTCAATGAGGAACTGTAAGTCAGCCTGCCACATAGATACATTTACCAGGCCTCTAGAGAGAAGAGTCAGGATGTGGATCTGGTCAGGAACCCCACAACAGATGAGTGCATGAGAAAATGTGGAATATGGTCGCAATCAAATTTTATGCACTTGTAAAGAATAACATTGTCATTTGCAAGAAATGGTAGAATTTGAAGTCATCATAGTGATAAAAATAAGAATGACTCACAAATATTAATGTTTCCTTTATTAAAATCACACTTAAAACAATATAGACACAAAAAATAGAAGCGACTATTTGCAAAGTGGAGAGGGACAAGGGAGCGTAGAGAAGCTGGGCCAGGAAGAGATTGAGGTGAATATCACCAACAGATATGATATACATGTGTGAATGCACAGTCATGGGGCCCAGCATTTCCTTCACTGTCATACATTGATAATAATTTACATAACAGCATCCAAGAATTTAAAGAAACTTAAATTTGGACTTTTCTTCAATAATATACAATTAGGAAAAATAGTATGCTGGAACTATAGTTCATCCCTACACTTTAGTGTGTTTCTCAAAAACCTCACTGAACAAGAAAAAGAGCAAGGTGAGAAAACACATGTGGACATACAGAAAGTGATGAGTAGGGTGTATCTCTAATTTGTAATATCAAAACTTGGGAGCTTGAGGCAAAAGGGTTGTCAACAGCCTGACTACCTCTAAAAAGTTAAAGAAATGTAGGCAGCATTAGAGAATGCGTGATCAGATAAAATTGGCTATTAACTTCCATTAGTCTTAAGCAATTCTTAAAAAGGCTCCACTTTGTTTTTTCTTTTATGAGAAAATCATATAAAATTGGGTGTAATAAAGTTTCTTTAACTATTTTGAACATTTGGTGTGATGTCAAGTAGACAGTGGATTAGATTTAGTTGCTGTGTATTAAAGTTCTAGTGTAGTATTATAAACTAGGTGTTCACATAAATTTCTTTTTTGAGGTTACTAACTTGTAAGTTATACACAGTACTTATATGCATAAGTGATGAGTCATGAGCAAATAAAACTTTTTTTCTTTTTGTGCTACCACTGCATAGCTCCTGGAAAATTAATGTCCATAAGTCAACTCTTTCTGTCAGGGTTTTAAGAGTTTACAAATATTTGTTTGATAGGCATAGGGAACACTGCACTTATATATTCGCTTCAAATATAATTCAGAAAAGTAACTACATTTACTGTATTCTAGTAGTGGCATTTGAAGAACTTTAAAAGGGCTAGAGCAGGCCTGGAGTGTGTAGCTGCTCAGGCACTGCCTTCTGCTCACAGAGCCTGTGCTGGCCCGTGGTTGCATCATGGGGCATGGACATATCTTGCCCACCCTGTTGCTGAGTTCTACCTTTCTATTTGTTTTCTTTTTCTTTTTTCTTTTTTTTTTTCTTTTTTTAATTTGGAAGTACCAGTCGGTCTAGGATTTCCTTTCCTCCAGGACTATAAGAAAAACCCTTTCTCCTTATAAGTTAATTAGTCGGAGGCCTTCTATTGCAGCAGCATTAAAAAGATAATGATAGCTAATAAAGTTTCTGTGGACAGTGACACTTTTGTCTTATGGCTTTTGATATGTCCTAGAACAACGATTCTCAACCTGTGGGTCGAGACCCCATGAGGGATCTAATGGTCCTTTCACAGGGGTTGCCTAAGACCATCAAAAAACAGATATTCCCAATATCATTCAAAACAGCATCAACATTTCAAGTTATGAAGTAGCAACAAAGGTAATTTTATGTATAGGAGTCACCACAACACGAGGGACTGTGCTACAGGTTTGCAGCATTAAGAAAGTTGAGAACCATTGCTCTAGAAAGTATAAATCCAGGAAGACATTGGATTTGCTAAAGCTAGGTTATATGACTTATGTCTTAACTTTCAGGAAAATAGATAAGAATATCTCCAAATTGTTGCTTACATTGGAGACAAAAATGTTTATTAATACAGGTGTCGTACTGCTCTGTAAAAGGTAAATCAAATTCAGGTTAGGGTAGAGCATGTTATCACTGCAGGCAGACTGGTTTGGTTCTTCTGTGAGAACTGTGTGTTGCTAGCTCATGTTTGGCATACTCCTCAGGGCTCCCTGTTTGTGAGGCTTTGCCAGCAGCCAGCAGCATAACTGGCAGATGGTAGAAGCTGAAGAAGAAAAGCCTAGTGAAGGGAGCAGGTGGGGGTATTGGACCTGTGCTGGGATGTGCTGCGTGATGTTTTATTTTATTATTTTATTATTTTTTATTTTTTGAGGGCTGTGAGCAACTGTCTGTTCACACCAGAGACAGACCACGGACAGAGCAAGGAAAGAATCCTCTCAGTCTGGCATCATGAACCATTGGTTGGGGTTACTTACAGGAAGATGGGTGCACTGTCTTACAAAAGCATCGGCCTCTCAAAAGCATATACACCACTGAACAGCCCAGCCCAGCGTTGGTGTCAGCTCATGAAAGCTGTGGGCCTGGAATATCACAGCCATCTTAGAAGCAGCTTCAGAGCTCTCCCTTACCCAGCTATTGTTTAATTCTTAATAGCCTCAGACTAGAGCCCAGTCTAGTCTAGTCTCCATCTTCTTAGCGTCCTGTGTTCCGTGAGCCCCAGGAAACATGGCCTGTGAGTCTCTTCTCCAGGAAGGAATATCTCAGTGCAGGGGCAACAGCTACACAAGCAGGGCTGCGAGGATTGGATACTTTCTTTCTCTGTGCTTACAAGCCAACAAGGTGAACGGCTGGCCTACCACCTGCTGCCCCACCACTGTGCTCAGCCTCCAACCAGGCCCAAAGCAGCAATGTCAGCTGGGAAGGGCATTGTGAGCTGGGAGAAATTTGTCCTTTGAGTGGATTTTCTTGGTGCACTTGACTTGGGGTACTCTGTCTGCAGTGTGTATGCTCTATCGCCTTCATCTTATATTGTCCCTTTCCTTTCTATTCATTATCTATATTGAAACATTTGCTTAGTAAACTTAAAGTTTATTGTCTCAAGCATTTGTTATAGCAACAGAGGTCTGGTTAACATTACTGTGCACACACGTGTTTATGCTTCCATGTTTCCCCCGACTCTCTAAGGCACACTGTAGAAGAAAATGTGCATGTGTGAGTATGTGCCCTGATCAGCCATGATCTGAGGACACCTGACTGACTGGAGGCACTGCACACACTCAAATACTGGCACAGCCTACATTTGAGGAGAAGTGGGTTTTCAGTTTTAAACGGTCATAAATCTGAAAAGTATGAGAATAACCTAATATGTTTACTTCTTTGATCTGTAGAAAACATAATTGCTGACCCTTGCATAGATGCTAGATGAAGGTAAAGAGAAAGAGTTAACATGATTGCAATTTCTGTCTTTTTCATTTTTTTTTTCCAGAACTGAGGTGCAAACTCAGGGCCTTGCACCTGTGAGGCAAGCACTCTACTGCTAAGCTAAGTCCTCAGCCCCTGATTGCAGTTTCTGTGCTGTGTTAATTTTGTTGCTGCTCTTTGCTGTGTGTTGCACAGTTCCCCAAGATGAATTTGAGAATTGCTTTAAGCCATAAAGAAACTTTTTTCTATGATTTGTATGTTGGGAGGAAAATATCAAGTTAGTTTTCCTCAACTGTAATGTTTGGAAAGCATAAGAGGCCCCCATGCTAAGCATGACTACAAATATTTGTTCTGGGTAATTAGATACAGTAACTTGGAAATTAGAAGTTGGTGTCCCAGCAATGAAGGGATGTTGGAAATACTGTAGGAATTTAGACCCAGGTCAGGAACAAGGAGGTTGAATATTATTGAGCCATCAAGTTTAAGGCCCATTGCTTAGAGGAAAAGAAAAAAATATAACTTAGCAGTTGAAAGACCCCAAAGGAATAATGAAGAAATAAATAGCAGTTGATTCTGAAACCAATTCTTAATTCACTGATACCCATTGTAACACAGTCATCTTGTAGACATGTCAATAGTTCATGAATGATGCATCAAGTTTAAGCAGTGATATCACAGTTAAGAGGAATTATAAGTAACTCCAGTTTAAAATTATTCTCATTAAAGGTTTATCTTAAATTCAGTAGTAATATGCATTGAAAATTTGTAAGCATCATAAGCAGCTTTTGTTGGAGATGCTTTGAGTTTCACCCCAAGTGATGTAGTGTTGCTACAGGCTCGGCACAAAGTATTCAGTATGTTGAGATGTGTTCCTTCTACCCTAGTCTTTTTGAGGCTTTTATCATAATACATACTTCAAGGCAGGTATATTCTTGATCACTCTGGTAACATGTATTAATTGTTACTTTACTTTTTGATAATGGAATTTTATTTATTCACATTTCACCTTACCAAAGCCTCTGTTTAAAAAGTACTGCTATCACCAGACACTATTTCCCCTAGAAATGTTAATGTTACTGGCTCTTTGAAGAGTTGACTGTGTTCCCAGATCCTTTTCAGCATGTTCGTGTTCTTTTCAGGGCATTTAAAAGTGTGAGCTGTAACATGTAAGGGAGCTATCCCATGTGCAGGATTTATGTACTAGGTGTCTTTTTCTAGACTGTTTTAGTTAGTGTATACTAACTGTGAAACACTTCACTTTCCTACAGCTACCAGCCTATCTTTAGTGGCTCAGGGCAGCAGCCTTCCATTTTTCTATAGCAGCTACAGTGAACATCCTGCACAGTCTGTCTAGTCAAGTTACTTTACTTTGCAAGAACAAGGCAGCCTTATGATTTTATATTCTCATGCTTGGATCCCATACTTGTGTGCCTTCAACTGGAGCAGGGATATGAGGTGAAAGGAGAGCCTTCTTCCAAAGGGGGGCCCTAGGTATGTTGACCCCTTCAGCCGGCATAGCGCCACTGGCCTACATGTCACTGAGAAGGGGCAGTCAGCAAGTGCTTCAGTGTTCTGGACCTGATGCCCCTGAGCTGGAGCAGTCTCAAGGGGAGGAGCAGACAGAGAAAGGGGTTAGTCTGCAGCCTTTCTCAGTGGGCTGTGTTTCCAGGCTCTTCTTATCTTGTTGAGAAGCTGTAGTCCTGATGTGCATCCTGGCGGAAGAGGCGCCAGTGCTGGAGGCTTCTATCTGCTCAGTTGGACTTGTCTCCCATGGGACTGGTTTGGGAAGAGTATGCAGATGGTGCGTAAGCAGTAACTATCCTTACACTGGAGACTTTGATTTTCTCAAGTAAATGCTTCTTTTACCTTGTGCCCTTTGAGAATTCTCGGAGCTCAGAGCTTTTATAAGTTTTACTAGATGTGAGGTTTCTCTCAGAATACTTCATATCTCTATTCTAGAGGTCATTCACCCAGCATGACCTCTGCTCAGAGCTCTAAAATGAGTTTCAAACTCATTGGCTTGCCTTTGGTGCTTCAAACAGGCCAAGTGTGGTATTGCCTTGCTAAGCATCTGCCTGGTCTCCTGCCCTGGCACTTTTTCTGGACAGAATGTGTCCTTCTTTCTCAGTATGGTTTCCTCAGCCATGTTAATATATTTAATGGCTTGTTTTTAAATAAATTTTCTCTACTTAGGTAACATAGAATAGACTTGATGGCCCACAAAACTTCCTCTTCTCACAACACATATTAGAATGTATGCAAAACAATGGCTTTACCATGAAAGTCCACACTTTTCTTTAGGTTTGACAACAGACTGATCATGAGAGATTACATCAAAAGTTTCTTGTGAATAAACATGGTCATCCAGCTGCATCAGTGGACTGCAATGGGAAGTTCAGCCCAATGAAAGTCTGAGCTGCTTGGCATGCTCAGGCCACGACTGTGCTCTGCCTGCTCTCAAGGACCATGCTGCCTAGGGGCTGGATGCATGCAGAAGAAGACGGAGCACCTTTGCAAAGCAGAGATGCCCTCCACAGAGCTCAAGCACTCCTGTTTGAACTGTTAGAGGTTTTGTTGTCATACTGTATCTTCCACTAATGCTCGGTAGACAAGGATGAGTGTGGAGGAATAAATGGAGCCCCTTATGATGCAGAATGCTGATGTTTGTTTGGGTGGCTTGGTTCATTTCAATATGCTCTCAAAGCTTGTCAGATAAACGGTGCTTGCTGCAGTTTGTCTAATCCCTTTCTCTTGTCCATCTGTACAGCAGCAGACTAGAGAGTCAGTGTGCTGCTGTGCTGAGAGATAAGTATCACCAGTGTACTCCTTCTCTTTGTTGCCATTGCTGGATTTTTCCCCACTAATACTGAATACTTTCCTCTGTAATCAAAGGCAGCATTAGCCAGTGTTTTTCTTTTAATTGTAAAATGGACCGAATGGGAATCCAAGCACATCATTGCACAGCTAGGTAAGAAGAGATATTTCTTCCATTGCTTCTGCTTTTACAGGAGAAAATATTCAGTACCTTACCACTGAAATGCTGTTAGTTTATAGATATGATTCATGAGACAATATTTCATTAAATACAGCATATGATTAAACAGGAAAAGTGTTCACCTCTCTGTTTGCCCATTAGTGTGGCTAGCAGAAATGTCACGGTTCTTTTGTGGCTTATGTTCTGTGGATGTCACTGCTCTGTACACTTCCTTTATATTCACAGAGTGACAGATAGAAACGCCAAGGCCCACGGCCTCCCATGAGGCAGCACAAGCCATTTCCTACAGCAGAGACAAGACCTGCCACCTATTAGTTGCTTCCCATGCTAACTCAGACCTGCCTGCCCTTCCACTGCCCCTTGTTGCGCAGAGTGGAGTGTAAGGACAGGGCTGTTTTGGGGAGTGTTGTCCATTCTCTCCTCAGCTTCATCATCATGTAACGCATGCATGAATGCTGATGGCATACCCTTGGTTCTTGAACTGCAGTAAGAGCAAACCAGTGAACTGGATTCAGCCTCGTGAATGCAGTTTTCACTTTTCGGTAAGAAAAACAATAGCTGTTTTCTTTCCCTTATATGCAGCCTCTGTTTAATAAATAAAAGGCCTCCAAAGAGAATGATCAGGGTGCTTGCAGCAAAATGGATCTACATAGGTGGACGGCGTGAGGACAAAATCTTGGAGGATGTCTTCCATTTCAAGCCTGAATCTAACAGAAAAGCGAAGGTTGCACAGTGGAAACAAGTAAGTATAATCAGTTATCTTGACATACTTATCATTTATAACACTAGGGTTGTGACTTATGTGATATTAATAAAATATCTCCAGTCTCATGAAATAATTTTCATTATGTTGCTAAGGTTCTGCTTTAGAATCTGTGGGTGTCAAAAAGCGCATGACGCTGAGAACAGTAATGTGTAGTTCTTTGGCAGCTTCCCAACCACTTTAACAGCGGCCAAGTCATGTCAGTCTAGGACTGCTTCTTGTTTAATTATTGTGGGTAGTAAGAGTCACATAAATCTTTCTAGTTTTGAGATGTAAAGACATTTATATATGGCTTATTAAGGATTAATGATTTTAATTTTATGTATGATGTAACATTTATCCCATGTTTTTTTCTTTTTATTTCACAATTTATTCATTATATATCCCAATTAAACCCCCTCCCTCAACTCCTCTCAGTCCCACCCTCCCTCCCTCTTCCACTAGTCCACTGAAAGGGGGAGTTCTCCACTATTGCCATCTGCCCATAGCTTGTTAAGTCTCATCAGGACTGCCTGATTCATTTTCCTCTGGGCGAATGATGAGAAAGCAGACAACTGAGTTCATGACAGAGGCAGCTCCTGATCCCCTTACTCAAAAATTCACATGGAGGAGACTGAGCTACCAATCAGCTACATCTGAGCAGGGGGGTCTAGGTCCTCTCCATGCATGGTCCTTGGTTGATGCATTAGTCTCTGCAGGATCCCAGGTTTTTTGATAAGCCAAAAATTGCTTTGAGAAAAACTAGAAAGAGAAAGACACATACTTGATTCTTCTTCCTACTATGTGTCAGGAACTCTGTTGCTCTTTTGATTGTGGTCACAGGATAGGTTTTTTAGAGCCAGTTTTGGACCAGGTGTTCTGGTGCACGGTTTCTGCTACTGTTATTTTTGTGGCTTTCTCTGGCTAGCTGTCAGGTCATGTTAGATGGGAAGGTTCAGCAGTATAGTAAAATTAACTATGCTAACCTTGGTGACCTCCAAATTCCTGTATCTGTGATGGACTGCATATGTGGACTTTTCTTGAGAACAGCCTTAGATGTGTGAGCATAACCAGAAGCATCACGGTGTTGATGCCTGTATGCAAAATAAGCATTTGACTGTTCTCCGGTCCCTAGAGCTCAGCGCTGAGCCTGGTGAGCATTTTCAAGACAAAATACTCTTCCTAACCATTTCCTCCTCAAAAAATAAAATAAAACATTGTCACCATTGTCAATTTGCTCCACAGGATGGGACACTCCATAGAGCTCACAGGCAGGGAAAAAAAAATGAAACCAGAGCAACGGCTAGGCAGCCACCACCTGAGAACTCTGTGCTTTGTCCAGAGGCTCTTATTTTTGCAAACTGACAACCAACTTACTGTTTACTGATCGCAGTAAGTGAGCATTTCAAGTGCATATTAACTTAGTGAATGTCATCACCATGGTAAGAATTACAGTAGCATCATTGTTTAAAGATTATTAATGATGGTAGAGTTTTAAGGATTATAACATTGGGCTTGCAAACACTTGAATGTTCTGACTTTTGCTAAAATGTAAAGAGTGCTTTAAACGTCTTTCATATCATTAATAATTTTGCTAGCAGTAACTATTTAGGCCCGTTCTTTCACAGTATATACGTGTATGCACTGTTTCATGCTTGGCCAGTGTTTATAGTCGCTCTTTACAGACCTTAATACAAGCTGTCTTCATCTCAGTTTCTTAAAATCATGGTAATTATTTTTGTCAGTTTCATTTTGAAGAATTATTTGTTCTATTTAGAATTGGCCTTCAATCTTTTCCCAGACAAAATGGCAATTTGATATAAGGATTTTTTAGTTTATTGTACCACTTTCTTATCTAGTTTGTTCTGTCTTGGAGCTTGGCTTATTACAAATTCAGTAATAAAACATTCCTCAGAGAGAGCCGCAGAGAAACCAGGATCTAAGCAATAAGAAATGAAAACACAGGTCATGGACTGAGAAAAGGAGTGAAAGGAGTAAAGGGGCAAACACATAATATGGGGGACTCATTTCGTAAATGCCATCAGTAAAAGGGTTGGGTGGACTAAGCAGGACGTGTTGAGAATTAGTAATCCAGTGACACAGTGAGTGTCTGAATTTGGTCCTGTCTGGACTGAAAAGCCTCTGGCCAAAAGGACTTAAAACTGCTCCTCTCTAAAGAGCAGAACAAGCCAACAGAGGGAGAGGAGATTGCGTTCCGGAAGGAAATGTGAGTTAAGCATCCAGTCTGTGGACAGACAGTAAATGACACACAGAACAGGAGTCCCAAGAGTCACGAGGGAGGGCCAATGAGGAAGTGAGGGAGGGCACAGTTTCCCCATACCTCCCTGTGGCCTGCAGACACTGCTGAGGGTGTCGCTGGCTTGCAGCTTGGGAGCACAAGTACAGTTTTATAAGCAATGCAGTGAGATCTAGGCCTGAGGAGACTCAGACCATTCTGAAAGTGATTTGTCGAAACTGTGGTACCAAAACTAGGGCGTGGGGGACATATAAAACTTATTTAAAATACCCTTTGGAACCGCCAATTTTGTTTTTCTCAGAAGTTACTGAGAAAAATTACACACAGGATGTATTAGCTAATACAGCAGTTCCTTACCGAGGCTTTGACACTGTAAAATCACAGTACAGCAAGTAAATCTGATTATTCAATAATCATTCCATTGTTATTGTTTGCAGACATGGTCTCTTGTTGTTTTTTTTTTTTTTTGAAAAATGTTGTAATTAATTATTAATATTTATTATTGATATATCTTTTATTAAAGCTGTGGTTTATCCTAAACAGCTGTATAACCAAATCACCACCCAGAGACTAGGATTTATTTAGTTAACCTAGAACACAAGTCTCCATCTTAAACCTCCAAGTCCACATAATTTCATACTGTTGAGATTCACCCATTATACCGGCTTTCTTATTTTTATTTATATTAATAGTTACATTTTATTAACTCTGTATCCCAGCTGTATCCCACTCCCTCATTCCCTCCCAACCCCACCCACCCTCCCTCATCTCCTCCCTGCCCCTTTCCAAATCCACTGATTGGGGAGGACCTCCTCCCCTTTCATCTGACCCTTTTTTATCAGGTATCTTCAGGACTGGCTGCATAGTCCTCTGTGGCCTAGCAGGACTGCTCCTCCCTTGGGAGGTGGGGAGGTCAAAGAGCCTGACATTGAGTTCATGTCAGAAATAGTCCACGTTACCCTTACTAGGGAAAACCTATTGGTTACTGAGCTACCATGGGCTATATCTGAGCAGAGGTTCTAGGTTATGTCCGTACATGGTCCTTGGTGGAGTATCAGTCTCAGAAAAGACCCTGTGCTCAGATATATTTAGTCCCTGTGGATCTCCTATCCTCTCCACGTCATACTAACTCCCCCTTTTTTCATATGATTCTCTGCACTCTGCTGAAGGTTTGGTTATGAGTCTTAGTATCTGCTTTGACACACTGCTAGGTAGAGTCTTTCAGAGGCCCTCTGTGGTAGGCTCCTGTCCTGTTATTTGTTTTCTCCTACATCCAATGCCCATCCCATTTGTCTTTCTAAGTGAGGATTGATCATCGTATCCCAGGTCTTCTTTCTTGTTTATTGCTCAACTATGTTTGTAGCAGCTTTATTTGTAATAGCCAGAACCTGAAAACAACCCAGATGTCCATCAATGGAGGAATGGATACAGAAATTGTGGTATTTTTACACAATGGAATACTACTCAGCAATCAAAAACGAGGAAATCATGAAATTTGCTGGCAAATGGTGGGGTTTAGGAAAGATCATTCTGATTAAGGTATCCCAGAAGGAGAAAGACACACATGGTATTTACTCACTTATATAGACCTATAAGACATGATAAACATAATGAAATCTATACACCTAAAGAAGATATACCAGCTTTTAGTGGTATCTTAGGTTCGGTTCATTTCTCCACGTCGTTCCAAGATTTCTCTCCAGTTTCTCTCTCCCAGCTTCTCCTCCTCTTCACCCTCTTACTCCTTCCTCTCCTCTCTCCTACTCTTTCTCTCTCCTCTTGCTCCTCCTCTCTCCCTCCTACTCCTACCTCTCCTCTTGCTTCCTTCCTCTCCTCCCACTCTGAACCAGGATATCCACCTTATACTCTCCATTGCTCAACATTGTGGCTGGTTGTTTTAAGTGACAAATTGCAGAACAAATGGCGGCATGTCTACACAAACTTGAGACAGGTGATGCTTAGAATAAACATCACAATGCAATGTCTAGATTGAAACCTGATAGTGAGGAGAGAGAAATCAGCATTTGAATGAACAAGGATAAGGTGTATACATTTCAAAAGAACATTATACCAACATAGAAATTTCAGAGGTAAAGAAAACCAAACACATTGGGTCAAATGCAGAAGACTCAGCAGGGATGAGGGCAACATTTTCTTTCCTATTTCACCTGCTCTCCTCCTGCCTCAAAAACCAGCAACTTCATTCAAATGGGTCGTTGTCTATTGAACAGGCAGGGAGCCACTGCTGAGTAATCATGGTGAGAAGCTTCCTGGAGAAAACCAAAATAAACAAACAAAGAAGTCTAAGTGCTGTTGGTCTCTCTGCTGTGCCTACTAGGCATGCAGCCCCAGCTCAGGACTTGAAGCTCGGCCTCAGTCCTCAAAGCATGAAAAGTGAAGGAGCCATCACTGTGTCTCCATTTCTCTAGTTATCATGACACAGAGTGGTGGTCTGCAGATCATGGAGTACTATTCCTGCAGGCTTGCTTTCCCTGACTGAAGCCCGGGGGCTGCCATATTTGTAAGTACTCACTTGCTAACTGGTATCTTCTTGGAGACATGCAGTTCTCTTTCCACGACTATAACAACTAACAATTGTTCCTTGGCCTATGGAGGCAAAGGGGAGTCCCCATCCTCCAAAGTCCAATGCCAGAAATATATTGGAATCTAATTGGAATTCTTGGATGTGCACATCCTTCTGAAGATATCTGAGGCTTCAGCTCTGATTTCATTGTATCCACATTGCCTCTATCCTGACTTCACTTTCTGACATTCCCCTAATGCAAACATTTTGTTTACATAGTGGTGTCCTGTATCTCTCCTGGATATTTTCCCCTTTCATCTAACTGATAATTCAGAAGACCTGTCTGAAAGTATAATGTCTTCTGTTTGTTCTGTGCTTTCTGGCAGTCCTCTGCTGTACTTTTTTTTTTTCTCTCAGGATTAGTTCCACCATTTCTGCCTGCTTGTTTTATGATTTGTATTTCTCATTGACATCTTGAATTTTCCTTTTTGTTATATTGTTTGCAATGTTATGTCTCATCGAATTGACTTAAGACCACAATTTTATGTGATTTTAAAAATATATTTCATAGATTTTGTTCTCAGCGAAATCAGTGTATAGAGAACTTTTGCACTTTGAATGCTTTCTGTGCACATTCACTGTACATCTGTGCTGTTCATGATTTCCATGCTCAGGACAGTGTTAGTGAACATGGAAACTTCACATAGATGGAATTTGGGTTGAATTTGGATAGATGGTTGTAAGAATCATCTCTGTGAGTTTCTTTCTTTGACAAGCAGTGTCTGCCTCTGATGTCTAGAATGAAGCAGTGTTTCTTCAGGCTCCACAGGGTCTAGCTCTGATTTCAGCACAGGGAAGCAGCTGGTCCAATATCACCAGCATGGAGCATAGAGACAATCTCCTTATGTCCATTATGGCAAGTACAGGTGACTCTTCCATGAAAGCACCAGTTGCCATGGTCTTACAACTGTCAGAGCAAGTGCAGGATGTTCCCTGATCTGTGGAGGGAGAGACCCTGTTTACAATTTATAAGATATGATTCCTTTCCTAGGTCCTACAGGATGAGCAATCCGTTACAGGTTTGTCGTGATCTGAGGACTTGGTCAATATGGAACTGTGAATCTGAAACACAAAGAGTATCTGCCCTACTTTGCACAAAATGATGGCAGTTGATGCTAGGGCATTGTAAGCTATATTCATCGGGTTTCAATACCCTACTCATATTTGTCTAGGTCCCAATCAAAAAGCACTATGAGGAGCAGGGGCTTGAATTCCAGAATCCATGGACTGTGGAGGGAGTGTTTACTGGGTCTCTCTGATCAATTATGAGTAATATTTAAATACACAGTAAGATCCTCACTTTTGATGGGGTTGCACATGTATGAGACCTTTCATGCGGTGGAAGACTGAACATAGTGGTTCCGAGTGTGTAGACTTGCTATCCACGTTCTTTGATCTTCAGTCAATAGGGGAGACTATTCTCTAGGCTATGTATATAGGGTCCAATTTCTTAAACTGTGGACCATGCTGCATGTCTGAACATGACACTGGAGGCATGAGACATTTGACAACATGTCAAATGTGAAAGGATCCTCAATATGCACTGTCATGGAGTAAGTAAAAATTAAGCACATCATACTCCGGAGATGTCCCAGGTGGCCCCTGCCTGCTCTGTGAACGACTTTGCTGCAGCCCCAGCTCTGAGCACACAACGTATGCTTTGCACTGTACCAGCCACCAAATGCATAGTGTAGTGCTGACAAGTGAGGCCTGAGGTCCTGTGCTCAGAGTACAGCCTGTCTGGTCTCATGATTGTCAGTGTGCAAATGCTTCCTGTGTGTAGAACACACAACAGAAAGACTTTCACTATTTTCATGCACAAAATTAGTATTTTTGGACTGACTCTTAGATTATTTGATTATAAAAACGCTATGTGAGTTTCTCACTTGAGTTTCATAAACACACTGGTAAGTGGATTTTGAGTTAGAATTAGGATAGTAGTTTTAACAGTGACTGAACTGGCCCTAAAAAGACTTCTGGTGTTTTATACTGCTTTTATGTGAAGCAGCATACTTAGGATTGATGACTATAAAATCGAAATATCAATCAACTCTGGAAAACATTCTGCGCCCTACAGAATCTAATAGCAAGCCAATATTTGATTCTTTATCTAAAAATAAGGGAGCACATCTATCTTGTTAATATGTAAATTTAAAATCTCAGCTTTAAAATGGTAAGACTGTATGTATGCAAAGTGAATTGTTTTAAGATACATTTCAGATGATTTATTATCAATAAATGCTTTCTTTGAATACTTAAACATTTGTGGTTGTGTGAAACTCTAGCAAAAATGGTCCTTGAGTGTCACAGGTTTAAGGAGAGCTGAAGCACTGTGCTCTTTGCTGGGAATTAATGGTCTCACTGTCATGAATCTGAAGAACATGGACAGTCCCTTGTACTGATACCATGGAAAAGCTTGCACAACCTGAAGCTTTAGCAAAGACCACAATTTCAAGTCCTCCGCTGAGAAGTTGATGTTGTCTAGTTTCTGCTGTCTGAGAACTGTTGTTGGCCAGGGTTGTGGTTACTGGTGGCTGCACTCCTGGAGATTGAGAGAGAAGCCGATTGATCTTTCACACCTTTTTATGGACAAGCTTGGGTAAAGCTGGTACTTTGCTACAGTAGCTGCTCTCTCAATATTGTATTGGCTAGGGAAGAAATGAATCCTCCCTGGATTTGTGGACAAAGTATGGGTATGAACTGAATTGTAACCATAGCAGCCACTGGTTGCTATGAGGCTGCAGGATGCTGAGCCACCTCTCCTTCATCCAAGGAGCTGTGCCCCAGCTCAGACTTCTGTCTAGCCTAAGGGCTTCCTGCCCTACCCTCAATCTGTGGTTCTATTCTTGGGTTAGCTGATGTCCAAAGCAAACACCTTCTTTGAAGTACAAGGGTCATTTGAGGATTAGCTAGCTCATCAAACTGAATTCCATCCCATAAACTTTAATGCTGGTTTGAGTCTGTTGCCAGCATTAGTGTTGCACATGCTTTTATACTCAACCTTTATCTGACAGGGTAGGCTTTCCAGCACCTAGCAGGGGAGCCAGCATTGAAGCTGCGAATGTTTTTTATGTGGTGTGAATTGGGGGCTTGACTTCATCATTTTATCTGTAGATGTCCAACCATTTAGGCACAATTTCTTTAAAAAAATTACTGTTACACGAATTGTTTTGTTGGTCTCTTGTTATAATTCACTTCATAATACATAGTGATTTATTCCCAGATTAAAAGAATATAACTTTGAGGTATGTATACATCTATGAAACAATTTTAACATTGCAAAATTTTATTGAACATATTTTACTGAAGAATACAGCCAACATCGAAGAGTCTTTAGCTGTGTAGTTTTACCAGTGTCTTCTATTTAAACTTCAAACTTATTTTTTATTTTTTAAAAAAGCTTTTTTAATGTATTTTTTGTGAAGGAATGTATGTGTTCACTCGTGTGTATGTGTGTGTGTTAGAGACAGCCAGAGCATGTATGTACATCATAGAGCAACTTGATTGTGTCCCTCAGCCTTACAGAGACTGAACTGACTCAGGTTGAGGCTTCTGTGGCAAGTGTTCCAACCTGCTGAACCATCTTTCTGGCTCCCATAATTCCAGTGTTGCACAGCATTGTACTCAACTTTGGAAGCCATCATATAGACACTCATGTGTTCATGTGTAGGAATTATATACCATTTTACATTCTTTAAAAAAAATTTTCCTGAAAAATTTGCAATTTTAGATGGATAGAAGGATAAAAATATATCTTACAGAAAGTTCCTGATAGTTGAAAAATAGAAAAGTTATTTAATGCAGAGACAAATGATAACTTTTCTCTTGTAGAAATACTGATTTATGGCACTGATAAGCCACATAGTACAATGACTATAATGTTTTTATAATTAAAACAGCTTTCTCTTCAGGTAGTTCGTGTGTGTGTTTACCTACGTTTACATGTAAATGTTAAGGTAGGCATCTATGTATGTATATTACATGAGTACTAACATTTCAAATTTCATTTAAAACTTCAAATTGTAGACAAGCAAGATGGCTCAGCAGGTTAGGACTCTGGTGCAGGTCGGTGACCCGAGTTAGGTCTCAGGAACACACTTAATGTGGGCAGAGGGAACCAACTCTACAAAGCTGTCCTTGGAACACAATGCCTTCACTCCAGCATTCACATACAAACGGACACAGTAGTAGTGATAACTCAAACTTAAAAAATTCAAGTTGCACACTTTGTCGTCAGTGCTCTTTCTGCCCCTGTATGGTCTTAGAAACTCGAGAGTGGGACACTTTCACTTTAGGAGATTGTTCTTTAAATGACGAAATAGATTAACAGAGGAAATGGCGCCATTTTGTGGTTGACCAGAAACTTCAAGGACAGAAGTAAGATATCATCACGGAAACAAATGAAGGACAGAGCTGTGAAGATGAGAATGAGGTTGGCAAATGCAAAATGCCCCTTTACAAAAAGAAAACTCCCCTTTACAAGAGGGCCAGGAGGCAGAATGCCAATGTGAATTAGGATCATTAATGTATATCTTCAGAAGAGAGTTGGAATGACCTGTGGGCAAGAACAGATAGCTATCTCTGTTTCAGGACCACAAGAGCAGCTATGTGCACAGTGACCCTCACAACATTTAAATCAGGAAGTCACTGAGCATGTGCTCAGTCCTGATATGACATCATGTGCTGGGGAGGCCTGCTATGGGGGAGGGGAACCTCTATCCTGGGGGGAGGGGAGAGAAGAAGGAGAAAGGAGGGGAAGGGAAGACTGGGAGGAGAGGAGGGAAGGGGCACCCTTGGGACATAAAGTAAATTGAAAAATGATAAAATAATAAAAAAGAATTTGCAATATGTCCTCACAGTTCTGTTTTTGTTTTGAAAGTGGAGTGTAGCCTTCCCATGTTAAATAAGCACATGTATTCAACTATTAAATGCAGATCCATTTACTTCATTAGCCTGAAACCTTCGTGAGCACTACAACTGCAAGGGAGGGTTCCATGCCTTCTTGAGGTATCTTTCATCTCACTGACGTGTTAACATCCACAGTATTGGGATCTCTGCCTTGTGCAAGCCATGGTTAATAGAATTCATGAGCTCTGGCAAGCAGAGACTGAGCTATAATGTTTGCACATGTTTGTTAGCTACTGTCACCCCCAAAGAGGTTAACTCTATGTTTTCCATCTTTAAACTTTATCACTGTATTTTTCTTCAGGATAAAACAAAATTATGGGTCAATTTTCACTGAAGTGGGCTGGATTTCTGTACTCACCTTTCATCAGCACAAAGGAATCACGCTCCTCATTCCCTGGACCACAGCAATGAAAGCTCGCCTCTGACTGGACTCTAGGGATATCAGCCATGAATAGAAGATAAGTGTGAGGTGAAAAAGAGAACTTCACCTAGTAATACATCCAGGAAAAAATATCTTAAATTGGAACCTGCATTAAAATTCTCATGAAATTACTCTCCATCTAAGAGAGCGCATGTCAACCAGTCCTAAGCTGAAGGAAAAACACCATCATAAATACACTGCTTTGAAAGACCCAGAGTATGAAACTTCAGCTGCCATCCTATTCTAATAAAAAGATAACAAAATCAAAAAAAGGATCATTCCTTACATAACTTACTTACGAATTTTTATTAGATTAAGATTGAAGATTAAGGCACTGGTCGCTTCTGTGTGCATTCCTGTTGGTGAAAGTGTCTATGGCAGCTTTCTGATGCCCAGGTCATCTGTACCTCAGTGGATTTCCAGGAAACACATTTACCTGGCATGACCTTGGAGAAACCATGCTCATACTGGCTCCTGATCTACTGTTGTTTATGGAAGGAAGTGATCATAGTCAACATCCAAGTGCACGCTTTGCTGAGTCTGTTGCCCTCAGAAAGCCTGGAGGTGTCGTAACACACAAAATAGGGCCGCTTGGCTTTATTTCTTTTTGCCAAAGTTAGGCAACTACTGTTTGCTTTTAAATATCTGAATTTATTTCAACTTGAGATACATTTTAATGCTGCTTCCAATAATATACATAGTACACTGCTTATATCAAGGAAGCTATCTCTCTTCTTTGTGAAGAAAATATGTGCCCTACACTACTGCCCTGATGCACCAGCACAGCAGGATAACTCCTAAACACACTCTGTTTTGTATGGGTTGCCCCTTCTCCACCCACTTCACACAGCTGCCAGAACACTGTTGTTCTCAGCTTCTAGGAGTTGAGCTTGACAATCTACAAGTGAGTGAGGTCATGCAATACCCATCTCTCTGTACCTGGCTTATGTAATATAATCATCTCTAGCTGCACCCCTTTCACAAATTACCAGCCTAATGTATTTTGGCTAATTTTTATCACCAAATATTTGTAATATATTTCTAATCCATTCACTAATTGAAAAATGCTCATGACAAATACATCGATTACATTTTTTTAAATTTTTCTATTATCAGTGCTATGAAGTTGAGTGGTTGCAAACAGCTGTACTTCCAACATGGGGAGAGGAGAGAATAAGGGACCACAAGTTGGAAGCCAGCCTAACATATATAGAGAAATCTGGTTTCAAAAAGCAGACAGCCAAACAAACAAGCAGTGGTGTGGTAGGGAAAATATGCTAGAGTGTAAATACAAACCTTGTGGGAATCCCTCTTGCATCTGGTTTGTAATTCTGCTGTGGAAAACTACATACTGTTTCCATAGTGTTTACACTAATTTATATTCCCATCAACAACTGCCAGGGTTCCTTACTCTCATGTCACTAGTTACTCTCATGTCACTAGCTTTTTCCAGTCTATAACATGTAGCCTTTTTATTGGGATGAGATGGTATTTCATTGATGTTTTGATTTGCATTAGTTAAAAATTATTAATCATTTTTAATGTTTTTATGTACTGTTTGGCTATTAGAACCTCTTCTAAAATAGAAACCGATATGGAGAGTGTTCCCCAAAGCAAGAATAGTCCTAGCATATGGCCCAGCTCTATCCTTACTGGCCCTTTGCTCAAAGATTGCCAGCACTATTCAGAACAGCAAGGCTGTGGACCCAACCTGGGGTCCACCCACTGAGGAATGGAAAAAAGAAAATGCTGTTTCCATTTACTTTAGAATACTAAATGGAATAATAAAGTTGTTTACAGGTAAATGGTTGCAAATGAAGATAGAAATTATATCAGGCTCAGAAGGATGCATATTTTATGTTTTCTCTAATTTGTCGGTCATGAACTGTAGACATACATACAATTGTGTATGTACAGATGACCTGAAAGTAGAAATCAAGCTGTCTGTGGAGCTGAGGGGCTGAGTAGGATGGGTAGTGGAATATGAGAGGAAATGTGTTCAAGTCACTTTATATACTTTAAAGAAATTGGTCTCAGGTAATCTTGCAATGTGAAACAAACAACATTCAAAGCTTAGTGATTTTTCTGCTACTGAGTTCCAGAAGATGTGTGTATGTGTGTTGTTTGGTTTTTATTTTTTGGACTCTGGGTGTCTACCAACTGTGTAGGTTCCATGTGTGTTCCTCTGTTATGTAGGTTACCTCTTCATTCTATGTCATTTGGTATGCAAAAAACATGATTTGGCTTAACCTCTTTTGTCTATTTTTGCAGTTTTAATCATTCTTGTGCTGGTTTTTCCAGCAAGGTCTTCCATGTTTCCTTGAAGTAGTGAAGGAGGCACTCTGCCTTAGTACATGGTCTAGAGGGGAAGGGATGTGATTTCACTTCCTGTTCTACAAAATTTGGTGGTTGATTTATTATAAATGGCCTCCTCACATTTAGAAACAAGTTTTCCATGTCTGATATGTTCTTTTTTTTTTAACACAAAGTCTGTTAAATTTTATCAACTGCTTTTCCTCCATCTGTTGAGATGATCAGGTTTTCTGTCTCTTATCCTGCTGTGATGTGTGTTGCTTATCTGTTTGCACACAGTGACTGGTCACTGCATCTTAATATGCTTTTTGGTTCAGTTTGCAAATATGTTCTGGGAACTTTGCATATGTCTCTATAAAGAATATTGGTTATAGTTATATTTTCTGGTTGTTTCACTATGTTCTAAATGCTCCAGTATCGCTGGCCTTTTGAACATGTTTGCAAGAATTATTCACTCTTCTGAATGTGGGAATAACTTATGGTTAGTTCTTTCAATAGCTGGTAGAAATCAACACTGAAGCCATCTGTCCTTGATCTTTGATATTTCTTGTGAGTGATTTAGTCTTTTTAAATTTTGTTACTTTGCTCAGGTTTTGAATTTACTCATAGTTCAGGCTTGGTAACATGTAGTCTCAGAACTTGTCATGTCTTTTACTTTATCAGGACTGTTTTTGGTAGTTTTTTAAATTATTATTTGTAAGCATATATGTCTTTCGAGATTGTGTGCCTATGTGACTGGGTTTTCATATGGGCGCAGGTGACCGAGAGCACAGAGAAACTCACCAGATGAGAAGTATAGGCCTTTGTGAGTCACCTAACATGGGGGCTGGAATCACAGGTGGGTCCTCTGCAGAATCAGTCTACACTCTTAGCCAGGGATCCATCTCTCCAGCTTGTCTTTTCAGTTGACCAACAGAAGAATTTACCAGCACCCACCTTCCTAGGCCTTCAGTGATGATTGCTGTGTGCCTGTCAAGATTTTGGCCCTTGACTCCCACCTTGGTTTTGAGACAGGGTCTCTTTATTGACCACTGCTTTGTATGCCAGACTAGCAGGACAGAAAGCTCCTGAGGGCTTCCCCATCTGCATCCCTCTTCTTAGCATGAGAGCACTGAGATGATATATGTACATTATCACATGGCTTTCCAAGGGTGCTAGGGATTTGAACTCAGGTCCGCACAAGTGCTCAGCTAGTGCTTTGGCCACTGACCCATCTCTCCTGCTCTCCAGTGATAGTTTTCCATCATATCATCAGACAACAGTAATATTTTTTTTCTGTAAACAACATTGGACATTGGCTGAAATATTGAAGTAAGTGGGAGGACTGAGCTTATTAAGAAAGCAATGTCAGCTGAACTGTGACATTGGACAGAATGAAGATTGCACTGAACTATCGAACCTGTGGGCTGTATGCTTATTGGTGACATTGCTGGAGCATAAACTAAGCATTGATTTCTCCTACCTTGAAATAAAAGTCTAAAATTTCATGGGGGGTTTGCAGTGTGTTTTTCATATTAGGTTCCAAAACTGCACTGCTCACCCACTCTATGGCAAAATATGAGGGCTTAATACTATGTGTTGGTTATGATGGACTTTAAAGTATAACAAGCCTGAGCTGAGCAAACATGGCATTTCTACAAAGAATTTTCCATATTCCCTGAAATTGGAAACTGGACATTTGCAATAAACATATTCAGCACCTTTATTTTCTATTACTTGTTTTGTTGTATTTGGTTATAGATGAGTTGTGTTTCTCCCCATATGTACTTATCTAGGTCACACTTTGTGCATTCTCTTCATTGCTTTAGGGTCCTGTCTTGTATAATCCTCTTTCAGATAAAATAATGTTGGCATCAAATGTAAGGTCATAGCAGTTTGTGAAGTAATGGTTAAACCTCCCATCATTTACCAGCTATAGTCATTACTCCTAAAGTGTGCTTGGAATGACACCTTTTCTCTATGTCTGCTTCTGGGGAGCAGAAATCACTGTTGGACGCTGACTGTGCATGCCATCCTTCATGTAAGAGCTCCAAGGACAGTTGTGTGTACTTGCTACCCACAGCACAGCAGCTCAGCTCCCTGAGAAAGCAAAGTTTTCGCCGATTCAAAAGAAGACCCTGGTTCTGAACAGCAGGGGCAACAGTTTTCACTAGGATAAAGCAGATTATCTGTTTTGTGTGACCTGGAAGTTAGCTCCTTTGAATCCTGTTTGGAAGCTCTCGTGTCTGGACTTACATGTTGGAATCTGTAAACCAGCTTCTGAAAGTAATGAAGGAGAAAGGCAAGCAGAAAATAAGACACCAAGGTCTGTGGATCAGCTGTGATTCCGAACAGGTTTCTAAGGTGATCCTTCAACACAGTCAGCTTTCACCCACAGTAGAGCAAGATGATGATGCAAATGCTTCTGGATGTAGAAACAGTACTGATTGCACCATGAACTATTTCGATCAGAACTTTGTAATCTCCTTTCACATAGAAAGCCTCTATTTCCATAGCAAAAAATAGAAAAATAGAAGCCAAGCTAATCAACAGGCTACAGCAAAGCAAAAGGTACAAAATGTGACTTGAATCTCATGCAGAACAATTTACTTTAAAATATTTAAATATTTACATTCCTACCAGCAATGGAGGAGGGTTCCTCTTTCTCCACATCCTCTCCAGCATGTGTTGTCACTTGAGTTTTCGATCTTAGCCATTCTGATGGGTGTAAGGTGAATGTGGGGTAGAAGGAAGGAAGAAAGGAAGAAAGGAAGGAGGGAGGGAGAGGGAGTGAGGGGGAGGGAGGGGGAGGGAGGGAGGGAGGGAGGGAGGGAGGAAGGAAGGAAGGAAGGAAGGAAGGAAGGAAGGAAGGAAGGAAGGAAGGAAGGAAGGAAGGAAGGATGGACACTGCTGAAACCCACTTCTTGGTGTTTCAAAATAGTAAATCATTATCTCCCAATGAAGAACTGGCCTACAGAACCATCTACCTGCTTGTTTTGCAATCAAGTGTTGATGTACTTTGTGAACTGCAAAGTTTCAGTTTACCTCAGTTAAGCAGTCCAGTGTTTAGTGATGCCCCAAGGTTTTGTTTTTGCTGTAATTGCACAGGATTTGTGCCATGTGGCTGTAGCCTCCACTCTGAGCTTTCTGCACACTGGTACCATCTCCACTGAATGCTGAAAGGATTACCTTCTTCATTTCCTTGGCTTGTTGACTTATAGTGATGTGTAGCCAACAGAATATAGAGCTGGTAGCTGAAGAAAAACACATTTATTACTTCCAGGGACTTATATTTGTCCATTGTAAGGTTGTGGCAAATTCAGGAATTGGTAAAGTTGCAGATATCTTAGAAATTTCCATGTTTACGTTGGTACACAGGAGGAGCTAAGAAGAAGAGTATGTGATAGCTATGAGGAGTTGCTGGGTGAAAAGCTGACTCAGTGGTGATAGGGTATAAAATAATTCCAAGATAAGTGAGAGTAATGTTGCAAGTTTTAGGTGCTATAAAAGATAAGCTATAATTTCTTTAAAATTTATATCAGCTTATTGTACTCTCCCTTAAGGATGGAGTGGCTGCAGGATATGTCACATGGAGTGAGTATCCAAATCTCCACACACTTCCCCTCGTTGTTGTTTCTGTGCTGATTCCCTCTTTTGTTTGTTGGTTGTTGTTGTTTGGGTCACACCTCATGCAAAACTTAACAAAAGGTTTAATTTGTTCTGCCTTTCAGGATCATCTACAGCTCCAAGAAATACTGTAAATGAAGTCCTTCCTAAGGACCAGATTTGTGGGGGAAAAGTTTAACCCAAGCAAACAAACATTGTGATAAATGGTTGATACAGAGTGCATAAGATGCTGAGTGGTGACTGAGGGCAGGGAGACATTCTCCTAAGACTGTGACAGACATGAACTCCGTTGCCTCTTCTCCGATCACTTCCCCCTGGTGGTGCAGCTTTGCCAAACCACAGAGGAAGAGGATCCAGGCAGTCCTGATGAGACTTGATAAGCTAGGGCCAGATGGAAGGCAGGGAGGACTCCCTCTTTTAGTCAACTTAGGTTCGGAAGAAGAGGTAGGTAGGGTGGCACTGTGGGAGAAATGAGTGAGGGAGCTACAATAGCGATCTAAAATGAATAAATAAATAATAACAATAAGATTGTGAGACGAGGTTTTCTGTGGAGAAACTATTCCTAGTTTATGCTTGAAGTATAGGGAGCCAGCCATGCACAGTTCTGGAAACAGAGATCCCCACACAATGCCGTGGGCCATGTAATAGCTTGTTTTGTTTGAGATGTGTTTATGAGGCTGAAGGCTATCCAGTGTGGCTGGTGTTAGTGAACCACAGCAAGAGATGAGATGAGTTTGGTGGAATGGTTACAGGTTATGTTCTTTTCTGAGTTTTTGTAGCTCACAGTAAAAAGTTAGCAACTCAAGCAGCCACCAGGGCATTTAAAACCACAAAGAAGATTCTTTCCCAATCTGTAGGCATTCGTTTTGTTTTGATGACAGTGTCCTTTGCTTTACAGAAGCTTTTCAGTTTCATGAAGTCCCATTTATTGATTGTTGCTCTTAGAGCCTGTGCTGTTGGTGTTCTGTTCAGGAAGTTGTCTCCTGTACCAATGAGTTCTAGGGTCTTCCCCACATTTTTCTAACCGATTTAATGTGTCCGGTTTTATGTTGAGGTCTTGATCCACTTAGAATTTAGTTTTGTGCAGGGTGATAAGTATTGATCAATTTGCATTTTTCTACAAGTAGACATCCAGGTAGACCATCACCATTTGTTGAAGATACTATCTTTTTTCCATTGTATGGTTTTGGCATCTTTCAGATGTCCATAAATGTGTGGGTTGAGTTCAGGGTCTTCTGTTAGGTTAAATTGATCCGCCATTCTGTTTCTTTATTTTATTTATTTATTTTTTTGAATTTTCTTTTTTTATTTTATTTTTTTCTTATCAGTTACATTTTATTAACTCTGTATCCCAGCCGTGTCCCGATCCCTCATTCCCTCCCAGTCCCTCCCTCCCTCCCTCATCTCCACCGTGCCCCTTGCCAAGTCCACTGATAGGGGGGACCTCCTCCCCATTCATCTGATCCTGTTTTATCAGATATCTTCAGGACTGGCTACAAAGCTCTCCTCTGTGGCCTAACAGGACTGCTCCTCCCTTGGGGGTGGGGAGGCCAAAGAGCCAGTCATTGAGTTCCTATTAGAAATAGTCCTGTTCCCCTCATTATGGGAAACCAGTTGGTTACTGAGCTACCACAGGCTACATCTGAGCAGGGGTTCTAGGTTACATTCATACATGGTCCTTGGTTGCATGTCAGTCTCAGAAAAGACCCTGTGCCCAGATATATTTAGTCCTTGTGGAGCTACTATCCTTTCCTCATCAGACTAACTCCCCTTCTTTCTTATGATACCCTGTACTCTGCCAAAGGTTTGGTCATGAGTCTTTGCTTTGAAAACACTGCTAGTTAGTCTTTCAAATGCGTTCATTAGGCTCCTGTCAATGTTCAATGTGCATCCCCTCTGTCTTTCAACACGAGGATTGATAATCTTACCCCATGTCCGCTCTCTTGATTATATTTTTTAGGTGTATAAATTTCATTATGTTTATCGTAACTTATAGGTCTATATAAGTGAGTATATACCGTGTTTGTCTTTCTCCTTCTGGGATATTTCACTCAGGATGATCTTTTCTAGATCCCACCATTTGCATGCAAATTTCAAGATTTCCTCTTTTTTGATTGCTGAGTAGTATTCCATTGTGTAAAAATACCACAATTTCTGTACCCATTCCTCCGTTGATGGACATCTGGGTTGTTTTCAGGTTCTGGCTATTACAAATAAAGCTGCTATAAACATGGTTGAGCAAATATCCCTTTTGTGTACTTGAGCAAACTTTGGGTATATACCTAGCAGTGGTATAGCTGGGTCTTGAGGAAGCACTATCCCTAATTGTCTTAGAAAGCTCCAGATAGATTTCCAGAGTGGTTGTACCAGTTTACATTCCCACCAGCAGTGAAGGAGGGTTCCCCTTTCTCCACAACCTCTCCAGCATGTGTTGTCCCTTGAGTTTTTCATCTTGGCCATTCTGATGGGTGTAAGGTGATATCTCAGGGTCGTTTTGATTTGCATTTCCCTGATGGCTAATGAGGATGAGCATTTCTTTAAGTGTTTCTCTGCCATTCGATATTCCTCTACAGAGAATTCTCTGTTTAGCTCTGTTCCCCATTTTTTAATTGGATTACTTGGTTTGCTCCTTTTCAGCTTCTTTAGTGCTTTGTATATACTTGATATTAGTCCTCTGTCAGATAAAGGGTTAGTGAAGATTCTTTCCCAATCTGTAGGCAGGCGTTTTGTTTTGATGACAGTGTACTTTGCTTTACAAAAGCTTTTCAGTTTCATGAGGTCCCATTTATTGATTGTTGCTCTTAGAGCCTGTGCTGTTGGTGTTCTGTTCAGGAATTTGTCTCCTGTGCCAATGAGTTCTAGGCTGTTCCCCACTTTTTCTTCTAACCAATTTATAGTATCTGGTTTTATGTTGAGGTCTTTGATCCACTTGGACTTTAGTTTTGTGCAGGGTGATAAATATAGACCTATTTTCATTTTTCTGCATGTGGACATCCAGTTGGACCAGCACCATTTGTTGAAGATGCTGTCTTTTTTCCATTGAATGGTTTTGGCTTCTTTGTCAAAAATCGAGTATTCATAGGTGTGTGGGTTTATTTCTGGGTCTTCTATGCGGTTCCACTGATCCTCCTTTTTGTTTTTATGCCAATACCATGCAGTTTTTATTACTATTGCTCTGTAGTACAGCTTGAGATCAGGGATGGAGATACCTCCAGATGATCTGTTGTTGTACAGGATTGTTTTGGAGATTCTGGGTTTTTTGTTTCTCCATATGAAGCTGAGAATCTTTTCTTCAAGGTCTGTAAAGAATTGAGTTGGTATTTTGATGGGAATTGCATTGAATCTGTAGATTGCTTTTGGCAGGATGGCCATTTTCACAATGTTAATCCTACCAATCCATGAGCACGGGAGATCTTTCCATCTTCTGAGATCTTCTTCAATTTCTTTCTTCAGAGACTTGAAGTTTTTCTCAAACAGGTCTTTCACTTGCGTGGTTAGTCACCCCAAGGTACTTTATGTGGTTAGTGGCTATTGTGAAGGGTGTTGTTTCCCTAATTTCTTTTTCGGCCATTTTGTCTTTGGTATATAGGAGGGCTTCTGATTTTTTTTGAGTTGATTTTGTATCCTGCCACTTTGCTGAAGGTGTTTATCAACTGGAAGAGTTCTCTGGTTGAATTCTTGGGGTTGCTCATATATACTATCAAATCATCTGCAAATAGTGACACTTTGACTTCTTCCTTTCTGATTTGTATTCCCTTGATCTCCTTTAGTTGTCTTATTGCTCTGGCTAGGACTTCAAGTACTATGTTGAAGAGGTATGGAGAGAGTGGGCAGCCTTGTCTTGTCCCTGATTTCAGTGGGATTGATTTAAGTTTCTCTCCATTGAGTTTGATGTTGGCTATAGGCTTGCTGTATATTGCCTTTACTATGTTTAGATATGTGCCTTGTATTCCTGATCTCTCCAAGACTTTAAACATGAATGGGTGTTGGATTTTGTCAAATGCTTTTTCAGCATCTAAGGAGATGATCATGTGGTTTTTCTCCTTCATTTTGTTTATGTAGTGGATTACATTGATGGATTTCCATATGTTGAACCACCCTTGCATGCCTGGGTTTAAGCCTACTTGGTCATGGTGGATGATATCTTTGATGTGT